TGTTCCCAGCTTTCCCTAGTCACACCAAGAAAGCACAGGCTTTGTAATAAAGAAGGCAGCTTCTCCCACGGAAGACGGCCAAGGGAGGACGGCGGCCCATTGTTACCAGATTTCCCTTTGAAAGCAGTCAGATCTCTCCAGGTTTTATGTGAAACACCTCAACCTTAAATACTGATACTTGAAATTCTTACAAAACTGGGAGGGTAAACAAAACACACATGTTCCTCCTTAGGCCCAGAAGGCAACTGGTAAAGTGCTCTCTTATGATAAAGGTAGTTCACACTTATTCAGGGGTGACCATGCTCCAGACACCTAAGTGGTTTGTCAGAAGGACAACACACAATGGTTCCACTACCAGCCAGATCCAAGCAAGAAGGGGGTCTGTAAGGAGGAGAAGGGGGTCTGGCTGGAGGGGGCCCTTAGGGTCACTTTCTTTGAATCTCCAGGTATGGGGCAAAGAGAGGACCCTAGAGGGGCCAGAAATGAGGGGGAGCATTAGGAGAACCCATTTATGAAACATCCTCAGGTATTGGGCTAAGAACGGAGACATGGGAGAGGTGGAGCTTGAGGGGATCTTGTAGGGAGGGATGACAAGAGTACTTAATGACAGTACTCTGATCATTGGCTCTTCTGATGAAGGTGTAGGAGCGCCAGGCTTAAGCCTGGAAATATGCATCCATGGGTTAAGTTGGTTATTAGGTAGTTTGAGTTTGGCCACTAAGGGTGTGCACATAATTATATGAACAGAGCCCTTCCATTTTGGTTTTAAAGGGGGCTTTTCCCCTGGTGGGTAATAGTAAACAAGTTGACCAGGTGTTAAGGAGGTAGGGTTTTGAAAGAAACCTGTGGTCAGGAAGGAGCCAGTCTTGGTAGCGCCAGAGTTCAGAGCTTAGATGGAAGAGGAGGGGCAGGGCATAGGTTCCAGAGATGGGTAGAGGTTCTGTAGGCAATCCAGGAGGAACAAGGGGATGGCCATACATGACTTTGAAAGGTGAGAGATTAGAAGGCTTCTTTGGTAAGGCCCTAATGCGCAATAAAACCAAGGGGAGCACCTTTACCCAGTCCAGGCTTAATTCCATGGTGAGCTTGGTGAGGGTCTCTTTAAGGGAATGATTGGTCCTTTCAACCTTTCCAGAAGCCTGGGGGTGGGCGGTAAGGGCAATGGAAATGCCAAGGGAGTGAGCGCGCGTGAGCCAGTCTCTGAGTTATCTGTGAGGTGAATTCTGGGCCATTGTAAGCAACAAATCAACTACCCTAGAGTCCCACTTGTTAGAAGTGGGAAAGGCATTTTATGTTTTTTACTCGGGGCATGTTAGTGAAATCAATCTGCCAGTCTGCAGCCAGGTATGACCTTGGGCCTGATGAGAAGGGAAAGGTTTAGGTTTTAATGGAGTATTGGTATTGGTTCTCTGGCAGATCTGACAAGCGGAAGTGATCTGTTGTAGGAGGGTCTTATTGCATGGGGAAAGGGTGAAAAAGGAGTGAAGGAAAGTAGTGAAGAAACTGGAAGAGTTTTGGGGAATCTTTGGGTCGATCCCCGGTGGTAATGAAGAGTAGCAGAGAGGAGGTAAAGCTCTGTAGGGTGGCTGATTGAGCCACTTGATTGGCCTTGGAATTCCCCATAGTAGTAAGGGAGGAGTCAGTTTGGTGGGCCTTGCAATGGATTATTTCCAGTTGGGAAGGCAGCCTGGAGGCTCATAGTAGGCCAGAAATAAGTAATGACTGCCGTCCCTCTAGTGGTCAATAGCCCCCTTTCTTTCCAAATAGCTGCATGGATCAGGATATGGAAGATGTATTATATAGGGAGAGGGATTTTTCCTCCACTAGTTCACATGCCCTTGTGGCAGCTATGAGTTCAGCTTGTTGGTTGGTGGTATTGGGTGGGAGAGGTTTTGCCTCTATGATGGATGAGAGGGAAACGACAGCATACCCCACCACTTTAACCCCTTCAAGTATAAGAGGGCAATAGTCCCTCAGAAATGGTGGTAGGGCAGGGTAAAATCATCTCTAATACCTCCAGGCATTTGTGAATGGGATCTTGTGAGGGAGAAGATGGGAGGAGAGAGGCAGGGTTTAATGGAGAGGTTTAATGGAGGGCTGAAAAGAGATGGAGGGATTTTCAAGGAGAGACAAGGAGGGATAGAACCCTGGAAGGAGGAAGTGACTATAGCCCCTTATAAGTGAGGAAATCCTTTAGATGGTGAGGAGATGAGATGGTTAGCGGGGAGCCAAAGGTAAGCTTGCATGCTTCTTTCTGGAGGTCATGGGATGCTGCTAGGGCTCTGAGGCATGGGGGCCAGCCCCTGAGGGTGGGGTTGGATAGGTAGGCCACTGGTGCAAATGTGGGGCCATCCTGACCCAGAACATCCAGACTTTGTCCCTGTTTTTACATAGAGGGTGAAGGGTCAGGAGAGGTCAGGGAGATGCAGGGTGGGTACCTGGAGGAGGGCCTTTTTAAGATTTGTAAAGAGCTTCCCTGCTGCTGAGGGTAGGGGTTCATCTTGGGGGCCCTTGGCCAGATTATATAGTGGCCTGGCAAGGAGGGAGAAATTCCAGGCCCTGAAGTACCAAACCCAAGAAGGATAAGCTGTTTTCCGTCTACTGTAATGGCCTTTTCCCCTTGAGAGATAGAGAACCCTAGATATGTGACCTCTTTACATGTTATTTGGGCCTTTTGTGGAGAAGCCCAATATCCCTTTAAGGCCAAGAAATTAAGTAGGGGAACTGTGCCATCTGTTGAGCACCCTTTGACGGGCTAGAAGAATTTGTAGAGGTTTGCAAGAGGTGCAGAGAGCAGGATTGGATTGGAGCAAGAATAAAGCCTGGAAGAGATCCCTTAGAATGGAGGGATCCAGGGACCCAAAAAGGGGCCATCTGCTTTGGTTATCTAAGGGATAAGTGGGCCAGGCCTGGATGCTATATTTGATCCAAGAGACATTATAGGGGAGAGTTGACCAGCAGAGAGGACACATTACCCATGTAAGGAGGAGGAAAGAGGACGCAAATGTGGTAAGAGAGAAGGAGGAAACTGATTTATTGGCAAAAGGAGTGTCCCCACTAGAATCAAAAAATCAGGAGTGCCTAAGTGGCAGATTCGAGCTGCAGAGATTGGTCATCACCAAATCCTGACAGTCGAAGCTCTCGTCCTGGACGGAGCCTGAGCCACGGGAGACCTTGGCCAAGGCTTTTCGGGATCCCTCCTGGAGAGGCCGGATACTCCCAGGGCCGGAAAGAGGGGAGAGGCAGGGCAAGAGAGAGGAAGGGGAGGGTAAGCGTCTCCCTCTAGCGGCTGAGTCTTAAAGGTGAGAGGACTAGGACTTTCGAATCTGACCAAGGAAGGAGTCTCTGAGGGCCACCATAGCCTTAAAGGCTGTGGTGGGGTGTTTTCCTCCCTGCAGGTGGGCAAAGATATTTGCCAGACGATAATCAACATATTGCAAGAGGGTGGATTCGGGGCACTGGGGGTGAAAAGATTGGAGATTGAAGGCCAAGGTTTGTCCAAAGAGGTGTGGACTATCTCAAGATCCCTGAAGAAGGACAGTCCAGGTTAAAGGCAAAAAGATATCCTTTAAATCTATGACCGAGAAGTGGGTGGCAGTATGGGGGATCTGAGACAGCAGGGTGTATGGGTTGGGAACCAAAGGATATATGGGCCTAATGGAGGTGTTGATGAGTCATAGATCCTGAGCTAGGCGATAAGACCCATTGGGCTTTTTTACTGCTAGTATGGGAGTAAGGGGAATGAGCAGAAAGGAGGTACCCCTTGCTAAGAAGGTCCTGAATAATAGGTTGTAGGCTCAGAAGAGCTTTTGTGGACAGGGAGTATTGAGCCTGATTGGGGAAGGTATTAGGATCTTTGAGATGAATGTTAACTGGTGAGCAGGAAACAGTGGAGGGGTTGTGGGTATCCCATACAATTGGGTCAACCAGGTTCGTAGGTAAGGGGTCCTTTTTAGTATGATGTTTCATGTCAGCCTCACAAGTGGAGCAGAATGGCCAGTCTTCTGCCAAAAGGGCCAGAAAAGATGAACAGGCCGATTCTGGGGCCTGACTAATGCCAGGAGCCCAGATGTTGATTGTCGTATTGAATTTAGAAAGAATATCTCGGGGGAGCAAAGGAACTGGACATTGGGGCATAACTAAGAATGTCTGAAAGAATGGGAAGTTGTCTATGGAACAGAGTAATAGGGGAGTCTTTCTTGGATAGATGGTCTTTTCTCCTACCCTGACAATAGGAGAGGTGGATGGCACTGTTTGCCTCCAGAATTCTGTCAGGACTGAGAAGGTAGCCCCGGTGTTAAGGAGAAAATCAACCTTGCATCTATGCACCTGAATCCGCACCCTGGGTTCCTGTCTCATTATGGCCAGGGACAAAGACCCAAGGCTCCGTCAATTGATTACCATGCCCAGAAGGTCAGAAGGCCATAGGCCTCCTATGGGATCTAGGACAGTCAGAGCCCCAATGACCTTGTTGTTGACATTTAGGGCATAGGGTATGCAGAGTGCGTGGTGCAGGGCATGCCCTGGCCCAATGTCCCTCCTTGCCACACTTGAGGCAGGCGCCCAGGGGGGTTTTGACCTGCGATCTGGGCAGCGACCCGAGGAAGCATCCTGCAGAACCTGGGGGAGCATAAAAACCTTAATGGCTACTGTCAAGATCCCAGTCTGGTGGGGGGGGTGGCAGGACCTTGTTTGAGCTTTTTTAGTTTGGCCCGGATGTCAGGGTAGCTCTGCGAGAGAAAATATGTCATAAGGACATGATGACCATCTGGGGTTTCGGGATCTAGATTACTGCTGAAGGGCTTTCGTAAGCCGATTCAGAAATTCTGATGGGATCTCTTATAATTTTTGGAAATTGATCGCCTTATGTGCTGCTTTTTTGAGCCCAGCAATAATACTTGTGGAGAATTGGTCCCTACTCTGTATGCCAGCTTGTGTATAATCCCAGTTGGGAGTTTGATCTGGGACAGCATGTGGCCCCAGAGGGTGACTGGGATTACCTCGGTGAGTTTCATCTGTATGGGCTCTGGCAAGTTCCCAGACTCTGGTACATTCCTCAAGAAGGAGAGTGTTTGGGGCTGGGGATGTGGCTCAAGCGGTAGTGCGCTTGCCTGGCATGCTTGCGGCCCAGGTTCGATCCTCAGCACCACATACAAACAAAGATGTTGTGTCCACCGATAACTAAAAAAAATAAGGTAGCAGAATACAACAGTTACTAATAGGGCATTATGTAAAATTGTGGATGTGTATC